GAAACACTTTTAGTACTGTTTATTTTTAACAAAAATGATATTTTTACTCTAAAAAATCACTATTGATACTATTTACTTACAACACCTTATTGTCATTTTGATTAAAAACTCAAAATTTTTAAATCTTTTTAATTAGTTTTCCTTAAAAAAAATGATGATATTCTGGGTTCGTGGACAACGGAGTCAATGGACGGTGGAAAGTTAACTACCAAACCCTAATATTAATTTCCTGAACCATTTCCATTGGTCTATAAAGAGATTTTTTTTCTTTCGATCAGCTATAAAGAGTGTTTAAATGGTGTTGTTTGATGCTGGGTGAAACTATGTGCAACACTTGGGTTGTGTTTCCTTTGTTCGCTGTTATATCTGAAACTGCAATGGTGTGCTGGTCCTTTATTTTAGTTATCAATTATATTCAGTACATTACTGCATAACTAAAGAACTCATAATTGCAAACCCTAGTTAATAAAGTAAAGGGTTATAAGTTATTCGCTGTATTACTTTCATAATCGAAATTGTACAATTATGATAAAATCATATTTACAAAAAATTATTCGAATTACAAATCATTTAGTTATTCAAATGTATGAAATAAATTAAGAAAATTTTAATGAAAAATTTCTGGTACTGTTCACTTTAACAAAAAACTATATTTTTACACTAAAAAGTTAATCATGGTACTATTCATTTTATCCTTTATTTTATCCTTATAGTTAAAACTCAAAATTTTCATGCATTTTTTAATTAGTTTTCTTATATATCAACACACCAAATAACATATTCATAATAAATACATTAATAATTTATTTTAATATATTTGAATGACTAAATAATTTTGCGAAAAAATAATCTTACCTAAGACCAGATCTCTCTTCAACTAAAATTTCGATTAATTTTACCTTTAAAGTTTAATTAATCATTTGCCATTAATTCTTTTAAGGTTAAAAAAGAAGTGTCATGCAAGGCAAGAGCAGACAAAACATGATCAACAGTGAAGGTACAAAGGGTAGGAGGATTTTTGTTTTCTCACGTCATTGTATGGCCAGCGAAAATATGTCTAGGGTTAGGGCCCTTAGGAGGGAAGGTCCGGCCGTCTAGGTCACCTCACATAATATCAGTGCCAGTACACGACCCATCAGTCATTAGAGACTGAACACAACAACAACAGATTAACACACAATAAAAAGACTCAGTAGAATTTATATATGTGTATAATGTAATATATATATATATATATATTTGTTAATATAATAGTAAAGTTGAAGAAATCTGAGAAACTGACTGTGAGTGGGGTGGGGGAGGAGGGAGGAGGGGTGTTGGTTAATGACAGACAAGAGATAATTCCAGAGAGGATGCGTGGTGTCCCACAGGAGGTGTCATATGGAGAGGGCGCGCGAAAACAGCGCGGGAGCTGTTTCCCAATGCACTAGCTTAAGACACCATAACTCTCTCCTCCTGCAGCTGCTGCCAGTCGGCCCAGTCCCCCCACTTCCTCTCTCCTCTCTCACTCCATTACTCCACCATTCATTCTTTCTTTACGATCTCTTTGATCAATTTTCTTTTTTAATTTATATTTTATAAGCACAACTTTCTTTGAAACTTTCTGATACGTCTGCGACCCACCCAACACCCCCATCATATCAAATGTAAACTCCTTTGATGCTGACACCCATATCTCAAACTCCCTAGTTTTTATTTCGTGAAAATGGTTGGTCACCAGTTTCCGTTGATTTTGATATTAAATAATCAAAACAACACTTAAGTTGTTACAAAACGCGTATGCAGATTTATAAACGACCTTAATTCAAATTAATGAATGTTTACTTCGAGTGAGAAAAATTATGGATTGCATAAGTTAGGGGATATGAGGAAAAAAAGCAATGAAATGAGGCTAAGTACTGCTTAATGCATCTAATTTTGTAGTTTTACATGCATTAGATTATTGATGTTAATGGAGAAGCTAAACCTAAATACATTTCTTTGCTTCTTATATATTAGTAAACACATTAATCAAAATAATTCTACTAATACGCATTTTAAATAAGTAAATATGCCTAAACGAATCAAAATAATCCTACTAATGGTATAGTGCTAAGAGATTTGATAGCATCACTTGCTTATGCATGCGTGACGTAAATTGATTGTTGATTCATTATAATTCTCACTAGGATTAATATATAAGAGTTACGTGCCCAGTAGTTGATGATTTCATTCATTTAAGTCTTGTTCGATAAGACTGAATTTTATCAAATTACTTTCAAGGTACGTTAAAATAAACAATGGAGTCCAAAGTTTTCCCCAAACTAACAGTATAAGAGTGCATTAGTTATGAAAAAACTTATTCCTCATATATAACTCTGCCATCGTGTAATTGAAATAGATTAGTTTTATTGATGACTAATCACTCTCGTTCCTTCAACTTCAAAGAATATGAAAGGTGTGTTTCTTTCTTTTCTTATTTTAACGCACAAATATATAAAAAGTTATACATTCTAATCCTAAACACTAAACGTCACCTCTATTTTTCATGTGAACTCAGATTTTTTTAGGATCTATGTCTTAAATCCACGGATCAAGGAATATATGCGTATCACTTAATTATCTTGCGATTTTTATTAGTTCATTTCACCGACTCATCTCACACAAAACCAAATAGTTGACGGGCAAAATTTTTTGATCCGTTAGTTCTAAACAGAAAAATTCAGAAAGTATCTGAATTCAATGAATCCATGTAGCAGAGCGTGAGAGGGCCGGCTAATGTGCGCCACGGCATGGCTACCATGAGCCCATGTGGGAAGTGGGGTTCACAGGAGCCAGGTAGTTAGAGACAGGGATGAGACTGTTGGGGTCCCGTTTATCATGATAATCAAACTAAAGGGGAAGATAATAAACAACTCAAAACTACAAATATAGATGTAAATATATATATATATATATATATATATATGGGTGTAGGAAACTTTTAAGAGAAGGAATTTTTATTTTTTTATTTATAAAAATGGGGATTTGTTATGAGGTCCACACCATATCTAATTTTAACGATCCAAACAATCTATTTTTCAAGTTATAAATATTAACAAAATTATAAATGTTTAAGACATCTAATTTGGTTCAAAGAAATTAACGAATACATTGTTATATAAGAAATAAAGAAATTTTATCTTGATAATTAAATAGACAAATAGTTTCAGATTGAATTGAATTTTTGTTAGGATGATCTATGAATTGAGACTTACAAAATAGACGGTTCAGATCGTTAAAGTTCAAAGTGTAGTGGCCTCCACACCTCCCTTTGGATCTGTGTTGTGTGAGGAGGGAAGGGATCTCTTTTTATTATAAAAATAGAGATGAGTTGCGTGAAATCACTTCGAACTTTAACGTTTATTTTTTAAGCTGCACTTTATAAATCATATTTGTAAAATATTAGTTAAATAAAAAATATTTAAGATATCTAATTAAATTCAACGAAATTGACGAACATTTTGTTTCGGAAAAACATTAAAATTTTATCATAATAATTAAATAGGTAAATAATTCTGAATTGTATTCAATTCTCACAAAAATAATTTATAAATCGTAATTTACAAAATAGAGGGATCGTTAAAATTTAACGTGGAGCAATTCCCCAACTAATTTCCATTGAATATATATCGCTAGTCATAGTCATAAAGCTAGTAGCTACTAGACTACTAGGCTACTAGAAGTAATAGTCGATGGTGGGAGTCTATCAGGTCGATGTGATGGGCACGGTGGGACACTCCTTTGATAAAGATGTTTAGGGTTTGGGCCCTTCGTATGGAGAAATTGTAATTTGAGTCTCTCCCAAATGATTGGTAGGATACACAGAGCTTAACCATGTTCCTCCCCCGTCAGGGAGTTCTCAATTGTTTTCTACATATTTAGTATGTTTAATGTGATCCGTTTGATGTTGATCTCACGCTCCATATTCTCTCTCTCTCTATATATATATATTTGGAAGTAACCAATGAGAAGTTCATTCCAGTGAAACGACACTTTTACTATATATTTTGTACCCAAAAATAAAGTTCCTGTATTGAAATATGCGAGCAAAAGGATAACTATCAATATTAGCTAAATAACTTGTAGCTCAAGTGATTTCGGATATTAATGAGGGTGTAATCAAAGATTTTAAAGGATTTTTAAAAGTGATAGATTTAATAGAATTTAAGACTCTTATAAAATTTATATGGATTTTAAAGAATTTGAATGGATTGTGGTGGATTGTGGTTGAAGGATTTGAAATCCTAGGGGATGAGGTTGGATTCTTTTTAGTTTTGGTTATATATATTTTTTGCTCTCAAATCCCACAAAATCCACAACTTATTGAAATCCTCCAAAATCTTAATTTTTTAATACACTTAGATTTGGATGGATTCTAAAATTCTTTAAAATATTTTAATTGACTACACCTAGATTTGAATAGATTCTAAAATCCTTTTACATCCGAGTTTGACTACATCTCCTAAATGTACACAAAGTTTGGTTTCATATCACATTTTAGGTAGCAAAATCCTTTTTCACGGGTCAAATTCGTTTTGACACGAGCATGAATGGGATTAAACACGAAGACGACATGATTATTAAGAATGTTACACGACAATAACAGGATTTACCCGTTTAGTATTCATAAGTAGAAAATTATCCGTAAAATGTAAACCTTTGATCAAACAAAAGAGTTAAAATTTTCATCTTACCTTCAACTTAAAAGGGTTGACCCGGTTAGTTGGTTATGCCACTACGTGTTAAAAGTATCTCATTTTTGCGTTACGCAAGTTGACCTAAAAGATAAAATTACAAATAGATTATTAACAGCATTAAACAATTTGAATTATGACCCAAACACAATAATTGCCAACCGTATGAACCAAACATAACTATTGCCAACCCTAATCCATGTATTTGATTTGGTTTCCAAGTTGTGTTATCGAGTCTTGTCTTGTCTTGTCTTGTCCAAAATTGTCACTTCCATCATGCAATTGTCCATTGAACTTCAATCACTTTATGATTACCTTCACGAGCTTAATAGGCTTTTCATCAACCAAAACATTGGCCCAACTGATAAGGCCGGCAACATCAAAAGTTTCAAGGCCTAGCAGAAGAGTCACAAGATCATTTCTTTAACTCAGAATTACAAACCCTTTACATAACAGGCACAACATTGTCATTTGACATTGCATAAAATACGAAAACAACGAAAATAATGAGCCTTTAGTGAGTTGAGCAGCAACTTTAGAGAGCAATGGAGACCTCCACTGGGGACTCGCCCTTGTCGACGACGAATGTTTTTACAGGCTTCTTTGAGGCAGTAACAATTTCAACACTGTATGCTCCTGGGAAGCCCCTAAACCTGAACTCTCCCTGCTCGTCAATGTGGCCGTGTGCTTCAGACAGCCACTCTTCCTTGAGAGCCAAGTAACGTTTCCCTGCTTCGTTGATATCCCCTTCTGCATTCACTAAATGCGAATTTTCCCGACTCATAAACAGCTCCCAGAATCCCCAGAGCATTACACCTTCAACTGCGGGATTGGCAAATGCTTCGCGAAGAATCACTTCCAAATCGTCTGCTCTAACATATTCATTAGTGGATGATACATCAAGCTCTGTGAACCAGATTGGAAGGCCGAGAATGCCTAATTTGTCAAGAGCAGAACAAACAATTGGACCCACTGGACTATCAATATGTCCTTGGATGCCAATGCCACCAACAGGTGCACCTTGTTCCTGCAAATCAAGGATTTGATCAATGTATTTTTCCGGTGATGATCTAGTATCGCAACCATCCTCGATGTGATAATCATTCACAAACAGAGTTGCAGATGGATCCAACAGGTTTGCGGTCTTGAACATGTTGGCTCTGATATCTTTTCCCAGTCTATCCTGATAGAATGAGCCATGCAGCATCTCATTGTTGACATCATAGTGCCTGAACTTCCCTTTGTAGCGTGTGAGAAGATCTGTTAGTCGATTTTGAACAGCTGTTGACAAGTCACTCTGGCTCAATGTACGGATCCATTGCTGCACTGTGTCGATGACTTCCCAGAAAATACAGTGGCCTCGCATTTCTATGTTGTGATTCTTGCACAAGTCCACCATATCATCAGCATCCTTGTAGTTGAAGTTTCCTTGTTGTGGTTCAGTCCAATACCACTTCAATTCATTTCCAAACACAGCCCAGTTGAAGTTTTTAACAAAGAAATCAACGAAATCTTCATTGTCAGTGTTTGTTCTACTTATACATGTCCCAATTGGAAAACTGTTTTGCGATTGTTTAACTTTCACAAGGCTGCCAAGCATGCTGCTCGAGTCCGACCCTGAAAATTTCAGGACAATATCGCACTTACGAATCTGCATTGCAATAAAAGTGAAAGACTTCAGAACAAATTAGCTCTCATTTGAATCGTCTATACTTTCGGTTCTTTTTGAAGCAATGCTTGGTGAGGAATGATGCTTGTGAAACAAATGAGACAATACACCATTTACCTTATCAGTCTGCCTCTTCAGATGTCTAAATCTCGCTGGTCTGTCGACAGGGAATATCTGAAGTCCGGCAACCATTAAGTCTACACCTGCAGCTGGACCTTGGATATAAACCATTACTTTTGATGGCTGCTTCTCAATTCTAAAGGAACCACCGATTTCATGCCATCTAGTGTCACTTGCTTCAACCTGCCCTCCGTTTACCCACTGGTTGTCCACGCCGAGTGCAATGTTGACGTTCTGTGGACCAGTTGCTCCAGCACCAATCCGAACCCAAGCAGACACTTGATATGTCAAAAAGAGTTTCAATTTGTCACCAATCATCTGAGCAGGACCCATCCAAGTCTCCGTGCGCTTGGTTACTAGAATGTAGCAACCACTTAAAGGTTCATGAGGTCCAAGGCTCTCTATTGCCATTGGAGGGAGAACATGTGGTGAACCAGTTCGGACACTCAGAGTACAATTACCAAGTGGAAACCACCCGTTTGTGCCATTACTCAAATTGCTGTTCTCAATTATATTTACTCCAAATGCTGGCAACTACAGAAACAAAAGCCTATATTTTAGTGTGCGTCTACGAATTGAGCTCGAAGAAAACATGCTCAGAAAGTATTAGAGAAAATGAATCATCCATTCAACCAACCTCAATGACTGGTGGAGGTGAAGGAAGAGCTTTCTCAGCATGCTTGACAACAAAACTATTGACAAGAATATCTGTTCCCGCCGGTGGACCTTCAAGATAAACAACTATTTTTGACGGGGAGCCGTTTAAAAGGAACTTCCCCTGCAACTGTGTCCAATCCTTGTCTGTTGCCTGCACACTTTACAGCACACCAACATCCATTAAGATTAAGGCGACATAATGGGAAGGGAAATGATTTCTCATCTGATAGTAACTTAGCAACAAAGAAACAAATAAATCACAATTTCATTGGAAAGAGACGGGGAGAAAGATAATAACTTAGCAATGCCGATATACTGTTCACGCTGATTTGGTGACTGCACCCATAAGGTAGCCCGGACATCAGCAGTAGTGACATTGTTGCCAAATATTTTAACCACAGTGGTTGCCTCATAAGCTAGTTTACGCTGCACTCTTCCAGTGATGTCCTGCTGGATGCCATTCCAGCTCTGTGTGCGTTCTGTTGCAGCTGCAAAAACCTTTCCAGATTGAGGGACGATTTTCCCATCTCCCATTGAGTCATGCAAAACAATTTTGCAACCTCTTCCGGACCAATTATTTAAGGCATCCTCAAATTTAGGGTTTAGGATTATATTCTCTTCTCCATCATTGAAATTCCCCGTCCTTCCACTCTTCAAAATATACATTCCAAAATCAATCAGAAATAAATGAATAAAACTAGATTCCTGTGGCTAAAAACTTCTTGAACAAGTTACTGTTACACTTAATTGCTATTGTTTATTATGATTCCATATATAAGGAGCAAGAAAAAAGTACCTGGCATTCACTTGGGCTCGAGGAACAGATCAAAACTGATTTATAATAAGGTCGACTCCAACCGAAGGCCCTTCCAAATAAAATACAACCCTATCAGGTTTTGTCGACACTGAGAACTTCCCATCCAAATTTCCCCACCTCCCCTTTGATACAGTACATCTGCAGGCAGTTATTACTGTTAAAACAGATTCCTTTTTCTATAAAGAAATAGAAAAATGCACCTGACAGAATAAAAGCACCATTACCTTCCAACTTGCAAATAGTTGGTCGCTGAACCTCGGTATTCCAGCTTCAAAGTTGCCAGGACATCAGTGGAGCCCTGAAGAGGTCCGCAGACTCCAACACATGCAGAAACTAAATATGTGGAGCCTGGGGAAATTCTCTGTGTGATATCTTGCTCCAAACCTTGCCAACTTTCCTTCCGATTTGTAACAACAGCATAATTGCCAGCTTTTACTTTTGGGTGACCAGAATCGGCGGAAACTACAAAGCCATTGCAGTTACTCGGGTGCCAAGAATGCAGTCCTCCAGAGAAATCATGGTTCACTATGATATTTGTGGCATTTCTGCTACTTGAATTCACCAAGTTTTGGTTCTCAGACTGACAGAAAAGGAAGAAGTCATAAGAAAAAAATCAAATGTTTCATCTCTTACACTTCTGCCATCTCCTAAAAGCTCATTTGAAGAAAAGAAAACCAGCTGTATATCTTGTTTCTTAGCTTCGGAAATCTGAACTACAACCCTTAAATAAGCAATCTTTTTCTGTGTAAAACTGTGATTACATATGTACTTCAGATGTAGCAACAAAAAGGACTAGAAATACAAGTACCTGGCCTTCAGAACAAGAGATCATAACTGATTTTATATGAAGGTCGACTCCAGCAGGAGGCCCTTCCAAATAAAACACCACCCTATCAGGCATTGTCGACAGAGAAAACTTTCCATCCAAACTTTCCCATTTCCCATTTGATACAGAACTTCTGCAGGCAGTTACTACTTTTAAAACAAATACCTTTTACCATAAACAAAGAATAAATGCGCTAACATTAACAAAACACATGATTTACCTTCCGATTTTCACATAGCCAGTTGCTGAGCCTCGGCTTTCCAGCTTCAAAGTTGCCATGACCTCAGCAGATCCCTGAAGAGGCCCTGAAACTCCCACACACGCTGAAACCGAATAGGTAAATCCAGGGGAAATTCTTTCAGTAATATCTTGCTCCAATCCCTGCCAGCATTGTTGGCGATTCGTAACAACTGCATAACTTCCTGCTGAATCCACAACAAAGGCGTTGCAGTGATTGGGGTGCCAAGAATGCAGCCCTCCAGAGAAATCATGGTTCAGTACGATATTTGGACCGTGACTACTTGAATCAGCAACATTTTCGCTCGAAAACTGCCAGGGAAAGAACAGGTCATTATAATATTGGTGCAAATGCATGGCTGTTAGTTTCTCAAAATCTAGCATGATCAATTATTTTCCTCCGTAAGTGCTAAAATTCAGTGAGATGCTCATATAGCAAATTTGTAGACTTAATTAGCATGAAAACGCTTTTGGGGTTTCAATGCAATAGGGTGGAGGTAGATTGCGGTAGTGTGTGTTTGTGCGTGAATATATTCGTCAATATTTGCAATTCTGCGCTTCATAGGCAACCATTGGTGGCATGCCCGAATGCATCCAGCAAACATCTAAGAAGACCCAACAAACTTTTTCTTCACGTACAAGAATAAACGCTCTTATCATCCACTTTTTCAATCAATTCATACCATCCACTTATGGTTCGTTTGGTATTCAAGCTTTCTTAAAATGACTGAAAACGCTTTAGTGAAATATTTTTGGGTTCCAAATTACTAAAAATTGGTTCTAAAAACATTTTCACAAAAAACGCTTGTATTTCCAAACGAGCCTTTACTCTACAAGTCATTTGCTATTCAAGCTTTCTTAAATCTTAACAAAGAGCAACCCCATCCAAATAGAAAGGCAAAAAAAATACGTTTTCTTGTACAAGTATAGTATAACAACACTGTAACCTGAGACGGACTAAAGTGTAAACAATATGAAACTACGAGGACGAAAGTGCGACCAAATAAATCATATGGACGAAAGTGAAATCCCAAGTAAACTAGGAGAAAAATAAAATAATAGAAACCGAACCTCCACACTGTCGGCGGCACTGTTGTTGGTCTGTTGGTTCTTCTCCATGGTTTCTTTGGATCCCTAAACCAAATTAAACACCATTTCCGATCAATCAAACACAAACAGTTTATGGGTAACTGCATTTTCCTCCGACAGCTAAAAGACAACATACCTTTGGATGCTTCTGCTTCTGATGATTGCTGTCGTCGGAGACTCCGCTTCTGAAGCGCCAAGGTATGAGCCTCCTCATTCCTCATATATAAACCCCACGATCCAACTGTAAAAACTGAAAATTTGCCGGCGGAAAAGTGAAGCCTACGAAAAGCGCGGGACCATGTTCTATTGTTTATAATTTGTCTGGGTTTAACTTTAATCCAGGCAAAAACAGTTCGATCGACAATCCTTAAAGGCAACAGTTGGATCGACTTGTGCGAAATCTCGAGAAAATTAAGAAAAATCTAATCTTCGGCTTGCAGATTGGAATGCTTGAATTGGAATGGACGCTCCAGACAATTTGAAATACGATTCCTTCTTCTATAATTTAGTCTTTGATTGTAAGTTATCTGAATGCCTATTGGCTCCTAGCCAGCTAATTAGGTGCGACTGGACTTTCAGTTGGAGAAATTTTTTAGTGTGCGGCAACACCGTCCGTTACACTAAGGCGCGATTAGGTAATCGTAATAAAAAAAAAAAAGAATTGGATTGAGGAAGAATTATTGAGGAGTCATAATCGGATTACTGTTGAAGCTGTTTACTTAAATGTTCTGTAATTGGAGTAAAAATAAAACGAAATTCATATAAGTTGTTTACCAATTCAGCTGAATCGAAATGAAAATTAATATGATTACTAAAATACCCTAATCTAAATAATAGAAAATTTCATAACTTTTTAATACAATTCCACACACACACACATGTGTGTGTATATAGTTTTATTAAAATATTAACAATTCCCTTTGGAAAATATTGGTTGGCTAGCACCATTGGAAAATATTGATGCATTTTTTCACACTAAAATAAGTCTCCCAACAGCTTTCTAGAACCCACATGATCTCTACATCATCGTTGTTCCATATTCTGCTTTGCACACACATAAGAGAGAGAGAGAGAACACACTTCTTCTTCTTCTTGTTTTTGTTGGGTGTTAAACAACCCGAAACTTTGATCGTTTGGCTATTTGGGAAAGATAGAAATATGGTGTTTTGGTTTGCCTAATGAAAAGTTTTGGTTTTTATGATGGTAGAGGTGTTTTAGGAGTATACATGGGTATTTTGGGTACAAAATTTTGATTCCTAATGGAGTGTTCTACCCGTAACTCAAATACTACCTCTATAGAGGTAATCCAATTCCGGGCAATTCTGGAATTGAATTCCTGATATTGGGTGGTCCCCACAAAACTCTGATTCCCTAATTGCTAGTAAACGTCATAATGGATTGGGAAATGTACAATTCCGTTTATCTCGATTTCAATCTCGATTGGTAAACACGCCCTAAGTGTTATAATACATATATATTTTTTATTTAAGTATTTAACCAATTGTACCGAGTGGAGTCCCAACACACTAAAATTGTATTATTACACTTGGAATTTTTTTATTTTTTCACTGTGTGTGTGTGTGTGTGTTAATTGTGTCGCAACATGATGAAGTATACAACGAAAGTGATCCTTGGCGCAATGAAAAAGTTTTTTGTGACTGATAGATCACGGGTTCGAATTGTGAAAATAGCATTTTTGCAAAACAAGAGTAAGGCTCCGTATGATAAATGTTTCTTGTTGACCCTCACAAACCAAGAAGCCTTATTGGCCTAGGGTTGCCCTATGTTGAAGTCTACAATATTTTTATGACATGTTAAATTCATTTGTAACAAATATTGAAATTATTTTGATTTTTTTTAGTACATCAATATTTTTACATTAGAAGGAGGGGGAGTTCGGCTAAGCCAAACAATGGGCAGCCTAATTTAGTATCGAATTCGCAATCCACGAGATTCAAACCTATGACCTTTCACTTCTAATCGAAAATCGAAAAGGAATACCACCAGACCGTAATACTAAGTGACATAATTATTTCAATTTTTAATGTTTCATGCATTACTATACGAAATGAAAAAGTTTGTGAGTCTCATATTACAATTCATAATTCAATTCATGAAAAAATTGGAATTTAGTGACGTATTTACTTTACACTAAATCACGTCAAGTTTGAATAACCTAATAACTTTTGTACAAATGTATAATTTTTTTTTATATAACAAGCGATATTACTCAATGAACTAGTAATAATGTGCACTAAATTCACTTTTGGTAAGAATTTAGAGAGAATCGAATCTGATACCTCTTACTTATAAAAAAATGAATATCATTAAACTATAATACTAAGTGACTGTTCAAATGTATAACTTAAATGTACATTTTTTACGCGCATCCGAGAAAGTTTCGATGGTGTTACTGAATCATTTTTCTACCCAAGAAGCTCTGAATCCGACCCAGTGCAGACATTTTCTTGGCAAACTTGTGGGATTTACTTCTGATTTGGGCTTGTCGTGAAAATATGGACTGCATGCATGTCTCTCCACTTAAAACCCAGAAGCCCAAATGTTTCTTTGAGCTAGTTAAGCCCAATTTAAAAAACCCGTTGGCCCAACCCCATAAGATAATCCCTTGATTAGTTTTTTAATTAATCCTTCTCTATTTGAGTGATGCTCCAATATGCTTTATTAAGTGAGTTAATCTCATCTTATGTTTCATATCCACCAGACATTCGCTAAGCACGAGGGATTAAAATGCGGACCGATGAGATTTATCTTCCTATAAACCACCACTAAATCATAATTAACTCCTTAAGTAAAGTAATTAGGGCAACCAAATGCATGGAACTCAATGATTATCCACTAATTCACCGTCATGCACCTAGTTAAATTAGCAAGCATCATATCCAACACTAAGAGCTTGCCTTTTTTGCACATTCTTTGAAAGCGTGGGTACTGTGATCATGTGATTCGATCTTTATTAAAATTTTAAAAGTTAATCTCAAAGTGTAAGTTTGGAATCAACAAATAGATTTTTAGAGTGCTAATAATAATTTATAAAAGAAAATGTTATAGTTGCATGAATAAATTTTGGTTGTTGACACATTAGTGCATAAACGGTTTGAAATTTAACGATCCGACTCGTCTATCTTTTAGGTCTTTTAAAAAAAATTATGTCTACTAGAAATTACACAAATATAAAACCACATGACTATTGAATTAAAAGTTTATGGTTTCTTTGTACGTTTCCTTCACCACAAAATGAATATCTTAATGGTTTGGATTTGTATAAGTTTTTGTAAGGTTGAACTATGAATGATGTTTAAAAGATAGACAATTTTGAAATGCTAAAATAAATGACGAATTGGCTCACAAAAACGTATGCAAAAATTGTAGAAACAAATGTGATGCCATGGCTTCTCCCTCAATAAATAAAAGAGTAATTAAATAAGGGGTGTGTGGACACACACCTCTCAATTTACAGCAGTCGGATCAAATGAATTGAAAAAAAAAAATCAAATGACATAAATTAACAAGAGTGCGTGAAAGTAAAAATAGTTGTGTAAATAACATACTTAAATTATTATTCTTGAAAACATCTACTTCTCATTAAAACTGGGTGTAAGATTCAATATTTGATTTTCGTCATTGGAATTTATTTTCCTACGTTTTACGTTACAATTATTGAACTTTTTTGGTGTGCATTGCAAAAAAAACTGAGATTCAATTTGTATGTACCTATATTTACGGAATGAGGATCTTAGGAATCCTTATATTCTATTTGTTCATTGTACATCGTGCGATCAATTTTCGTTAAGTATTATTCGTGTTTAATTTAAATAAAAAAATTAAAATAACTTTTGATTGTATAATGTACGATAAACGAATAGGATGTGAGGATACAGACGAAATCTAAATCCATATTTACGTACCTATAAGTTTTCATATGGTGATTTTTATTTTCTTCCATACCATATTAGTGGTAAGTAATTTTTTTGCATGTGAAAGATATGTGTTAGTTTAATAATAAAAATATTAGGGTAACAATTTGAATTTTAAATGTAATATCATTGCTAGATTTGTAGTAGGTGGAAATTAGTTCCGTTTTTAAGGCTTAATTATGGATGTGTTTAATTTTTTTTATGACAACATTTGTTAGTAAAGAATTTTATTTTATTTTATTTTTCTTTTAAGAGGACCATCTTGTTGTTTTTCCACGATAATCTATCATTTCGAAGATCTGGAAGACTCACTTAGGGGTGGTTTGGGAGTGAGGTGCTTAAAAAAAAAACACTCATGAAAAAAAGCTGTGAGGGTTTTAGGTGTTTGGTAAACTGAAAAAAATGGCTTATTTTGGAAGCTGCTGTGAGAATAAGCTGAAATCAAAGGAAAAAGCTGAAGCTGCTATTTGCAGCTTTGGAAAACTGGTTTTTTTTCAAAGCACACGGAGCTACAGTGCTCATTTAATGAAAAGACCCACTATCAGACTGCTTTTTTTCCAAAAGCACTTTTACAAAAAAGTTTACCAAACACTCTGCTGATTTATTTCACAGCCGCTTATTCTCGCAGCACAACCGCTTATTCTCACAGCAGCTTTTTTTCAAAGCACAGCAATACCAAACCAGCCCTTAGGCAATTATAAGTAAGAAAGTTGATAATGCTAAATTAATATGATGTGTCTCAGTATATTTCTCATATAATCCCCTTTAATTATATACATATAGGGAAAAGTAAATAGTAAAAATTCTTTCCTCCTCAAAAGGCGACTGACTCGACAAGATCATGAGAATCTCGAGGAAGAGCAAACGGGGAGCCACCTCCGTTGCCGCGCGTAAGCCATCGGAGGCCTCCGCTGTCAGGGGGAGGACAAAAGTGGGTCACCGCCACCTCGAGACACACCCAAGCCACCAACCACGTGTGCTAACCTGAAGGAGCTCGCACGTGCCGTCCGTACATATTTTGTTGTCTGCAAATTGCACGTAACCCTGCCCCGAGTATTTACGAACCGGGACAAGTGTGTACTGACCCAGACGTGGCCCATTGTCAAAATAAGAGACTCACCGGTGAGTATTTTGTATACTCACTTTTTAAATTTGATCAAATAATATTTTAGTAAATAAATATTTTGTTGTTTTAGAAAATAGTACAATGTTATTTATCTTCTTTCGGACTTTTAAAAATAAGAAATATGTGTAATTTTAATTGGATCATATTAAGGGTGAGCAAGTGTTGGTTTGGGTTGTTTTTTGGTCAAAATTGAAACCAAACCGATCTAGTCAGTTGAATCAAAATTGCAAACGAAACTGATCAAGCTGGGTCTAAAACTGATCAGTTCGGTTAACCGACAAGGACGGGTTGGATCTCGGTTTGTGTGAAAACAAAAATACATAACACATTTATCTCTCAAAAGCTATAAAATGTAGCACTAATATAAGTCTTAAACTAATCATGTTTTGTTTTCATATGGTGAAAACACGGCAATTCGTAAATAACTAACCATTTATATTACTACACGTATTAATTATGATTAAAATTAAATTAAATATATGCGGGTCGGTTCGGTGAACAACATCCTAAATTTTTTTTGG